TGTGTTTGGCCTCGTGCCAACCCGGGATGAGCCCGCAGAGTGCCTCCAAGTGTGTGTGTTTGTATATCTCTGACCCGTATATTTGTCTCTCATGGTTGTAACATTGTAGGTTGGAGACGTTCCAGACTAGGCTCAGCTTGAGCCCTCGGCTGCCCATGTTTTGCATGCATCAGCATAGGAACTGTTGCAGCATGACTTTGTGACATGTAACGCTTGTCCAGCGCTAGTCTACATTAGAGTGATGCTTGCTGCTTGCATCCGAAGACCATTTTTTTCATCACATGTACTGCAGGCAACGGCTCGTTAAAAACCTGAACAGCTCAAGGGTGCTTAAGACATGTGCGGTGTGGAGCTGATGCATTGGTGTTGGCATTTCATTGGATTTATATAGTTCAATTTGTGCATCACCCTACCTGCATCTCATCCGGCTGCGGGCGCAGGCGCTGGTGCACTGCCCTGACATTCGAACAACAACATGAGACTCGAAGGATAGGGACAGGGATACAGTCGAACAGTCGAACAAAAGGGCGCTGCATAAGTTGCATGGCTTAAATTGATCAGCAATACAGTTGTGGTGTGGCTTATGCCGTTAAAAGCTCAGGTGATCCCAATACAACTGTAGCTTCTGAACTTTGCCACATCAATATGACTCGAAACGAGCTGGCCTCATGGAGGTTGACAAACCTGATCAGTAATATTCACTGGTGTGGTCAATGAATGCAGTGACCGAATGTCTGTGCAATTCCGGGAGAACTACAAAGGACTTATGAGGAGACTTTTGCTGGAAAGCAATCACCACGGCAATGTTCAATCTATTGCTGCCCACTCTTTGGCAGGCTGCAAGCAAGACTGGATAGCAAGACTGGATCCCTACTTGGAAGCTGATTATCAACTTCTGACAGAACAATTCATCAGAGTTGAAGCCACGCAAGCTGCTTGTCCAATCTTATCCAGTCCAATCTTCGGCTGCTTTTGACGGCTTTTTCTTTAGCAACCATGTGTTGCGCGTCACTGGCGGCTTCTCCGATTTCCTCAGCTCACAAAAACCAGACTTTGTGCGAGTGCAAATCACCTTTCATCTGTTCAGGTTCAGATTTGCTCTCAGGTCTTTGAAGTCTTTTTTTTTGTGTGCCACGCTAGTAGTAACAAGTGCCTTACTACTAGTAACAAGAAGCTACTAAATCATTGGGCAATTCAGGCAACCTGAGCTTCCTGAGACGCCCACACTCCTACTAAGGCCGCACGTCCCTGTCGCACATGATTGTTTTGGTCGACGCGTTTTTGCTTGATTGACGGCCTCAAAGTTGTTTGGCAGCGCCAGTCGAGTTAGAGACTGCAACAGGTCAACCTCCAGTCGCATCACTGACAAAGGAAGAGGAATCTGGACAACGATGCGCAAAGGACTCAAAGGACCAATTCAGGCACACATGTGCTAACTTGAGCTTCAGCTGCTCAGGGTTTGACTTCTTATGGCTCACTCACAAGTTACCATAAAAGGCAGCGCTCAAGACAATATGAGAAAACCAACCAAGACATCAATCACGTATATATATATACACATATTATATATACATATAATTCCGTATAATCACATATATGTACATTTCATCCCAGAGTAGTATCCATCTCTTTTGCCTTGCGGCCAGTGGCGTTCGCCAGCTCCTTGACCCCGCTGGGTCCAGATTGCAAACAACATGCTTTGGCTTTGGGCTTCAAATGATGCAAAAGGGTCTCTCAGCCGCTCACCGCAAAGCGTTTCGGCCCCAAGCGTTGCAAGTGTCCAGGCTTGGCACCCTGAGTAGCGCATTGGCAGCACGGAGTGTTTGGCTGCCAACCGGCAGATTCCTTCTGATTAGCATTCAAACAAGTCAAGCCTGTATGCAGGAATTCAAGGCATTTCACGGGAAGCGTTCTATCTGCAAAGCAATACATTTGCAGTAGGCCTCCTCCCAAAAAAAGGCGCATCTGCATATCCTCCACTTCATCCTGATGAATAGAACTTTGCAAACATCTTGGATCTTGAGAGGCAACCCCTTCGCAAAGCTGATGTTGATTGATTTAGCGGCATAGTTACAACAGGAGAAGCTGCTCCAAGCGTGACTCTAATCTTAACCAGAATAATAACATAATGATAACATCCCGCGAGCATGTCAGCATCTCAATCTACTGGCTGCTCACAATGTGTTGCGAAGTTCAAACAATCTTGTTGGCCTCAACATTCAGCTGCCTCGATCTGCCTTGCATCGATGCTGCTCTCAGTCAATTTCAAGGAAGTCTAAATCCATGTGACTGAAGCTGCTTTGAACTGACGGTACGTTTTTTCCTATTCTTACTGAACTCTATTCTCGGTCCCAGTGTTATTTTACACTTCAGAGTCTCACCACCTCTTTCACGCAAGCGGCGCCGCTCTTCTCTCGCCCATTTGGAGGCTCCACAAGCGCATGCAGTGAAGAGCACAGCCTCAGTCCCGGTGTGAAGGCTCCAAACTTCAATGGAACAACTGCAAGGACTCACAGTCTTGTGAACGCATTGATAGACAACAGGTCCTAGGTTTGCGCAAAATGCGACTGACAGCTGTGTGAAGCTTCTCGATTCAACCTTTTTGTCCGCTTACATACGTATTATGTTATAGTTACATGGAGAACAAAATTGTCTTTCTCCGTTTCCCTTGGATGACCACCTCAATAGCACCACCTCGCCACTCATCGTCCACGTCCTCAGTGCAAGTCATCAAGAGTGGGGAGCTTGCACATCATGTAGAGATCATCATCTCAAATGTACAACAAAGGAGGCCACCTGGGATGGCTCTGGCAAAAGCAAGGGATCCTTGAAAAGAATGAGGCGCACATCTTGCACCTTATGGAACAATGCAAACCACGGCTGGGTCCATTTTTGATAAGGTTTGACAGAAGTTAGAAGTGTATTCGCTGAAAAAACCACCATCACTGAGCCCACCGACGCCTGCCTTCTCCAACGATGAAGCCAAGGCATTGGCAATGACACCTTCGATGGTCTCAAAAACTCTACTCGATTCCGAGAGAAAGTGACCCCTGAGGCTGCCAACGGCTAAACGACCAGGCCGCCAGTGCTAAAGGCTCTCCTTCCTGAGCTCTTATATGTTGTAACGAAGTGTGCGCTCAGTGCGACTGTATATATATATATATTATAGAAATATGTTCAAACAGAGAGGACATCAATAGCCCAAAGGCTAGGCCAGCTGAGCTGCTCTGGTCCCACATTCCAGCTGAGGGCTAAACCACTACATCTGCATAGATCATGCGATGCGCATTGACCTGAAGTCTGGAAGCAAGTTACTATTGACGGCAAATACAGTGACGGTAAATACAGTGAAGGCGGATGCACAATGACAAATAATCGATGCTATGGAAAGTCCAAAGAGCGGTAGTGTTGTACGCTTTGTCTGAGCGCCGGGCCCTGCGTGTGTACAGCCTCACCAGCTCAGCCAAGCTTTTGCATCTGCAAGCTTCCTGCGATTTGCCACATGAAGAGCACAATGGGTGCGAGAGAAACTTCCTTCAACAACCCTCAGCTGAAAGAAACGCTTCACCCCCTTCGCCTCATCAAAAATCAAAGAGCAAACGGTGCAAGGTGCCAAAGCGGCAGCAAGTTCTGCACGTTTCTCTTGCACCTACAACAGCAAATATGTCTGAACATATGCTTTGCTGAAGCTGCTTCAGATTCAAACAGCAAGCTTCTTCTGCCTTCTCCAAGCCTGCTAGCTCCTCCGCTTCTGGAGGGTGAGCATCCCTTGACAGCGAGAAACATTTCAACTGAAGGCGACAAAGTGCGTTCAATTGACTTACGCTATCACTGCCGCAGGCACTTGCTTTTTGTATCTCTTTATAGATGAGCTCGGCGATCTAATTAATCATCTGGACACAGGTGGATGATTTCAGAGCTTGACTGGGCTCCACGCACAAGGAATACTCGTGGGCCAATGCCCTGTCGAAGTACTTTCACCCCAGAAACCTTGGCAATCTTTTGTGGGGAAAG